CTGTATTTATGCTTTGTTTTTGTTTGTTTGTTTGTTTTTGTTTTTTAGATTCCACATATGAGCGATCTCATATGGTATTTTTCTTTCTCTTTCTGGCTGAAATCCTTTTTTCGTCATCCTCACCCTACCCTATGCCAAATTCTTGAGATAATCTGATTCAATTAACCACACGTATTGGTGGATTTAAGTGTTCCTTCCTCACAAGAGCCTCCTCTTTTTAATATTCTAGCTTTGAGATTTTTTTTCTGGAAGAACCCTCCCATCCTTACCCTTTGCACAGATTCTCATCTTTTTCCGTTCCAGTGTGTCTTAATCATTGATTTCTTTTCCTAAGGGGCCTCCCGTGTTCCAGGGACCCCTACCTCTTCGTTGGCTTTATTCTGTGGCACTATTTCTTAAAGTGTACTGCATCAATTTAAATTGAGTGAATAAAAGTAGGCTAAGCTTGTAAGTGTTGAGTAGATGCTTCAAATCAGATGAAAATCTGAGGGGCCCAGGAAGTTAGTCTCTATGAGTTGATTTTAGGTGATGAAATGAACTCAGACTCTAGGAGGCAGGTAGAAATAGTCACAGCTGTAACAAGTAAACGATGAGGTGAACTCTGATATTATTACAGAAGTAATTTGTATTATTTAGTTTCTCTACAGTCCGTAATTACAGCAGATATGTGCTTTCAGTCATGGGGAGAGTTAAAGGTATGAGATGGAGTTACGTTCAAAGGTACAGGTACATTGCAAGAGCACCGTAGTCTTGGCATTGGAACTGACCACCAATCATAAACAGAGATTTCTCCAGCTTCGTGCTTGCACAGTTCACTTAATCTCAACCATGTAGTTTCTTTAAATAAAGATTATATAATAATCGTTTCTAGATAGCCACCTTTTATCTTCTAGGTGAAAAAATTGAAACCCAGATAAGTTAAATGGTAATAAAGCAATATGTAGTTTTGTATAGTTTTGCCTTTATAAATCCCTCTAATGGGTACAAGGTTATTTAAATTTCCAAAGTTAGCTGAAATTTTTAGGCAAATTAATTTTTAGCAAGTGTCAACTATGTATTGAATCTCTTGAAGGCAAGAGCTACTAAGGAAATAAAATAATACATCACGTCAAAGAAGGCTTAAAAGGAGGCTAACATATCAAGGCTAGGAGTGTTTATATAAGCAGACATAGGTCCATACCAGCCATTGTCTTATTTCACAGGTGCGGCTGTAAAATGATTTTGTTTTTATCAGGCACATGGGATTAAATCTACATCATGGCTGTTTCAGAACCATCTCCCAGAGATGCCAAGTATGAACAACTAATCAAAAATAATAGGCGATATGTCTTGCTGGCAGATATGCCAAGTAACGTGCTCCATTCCTTGATGGTGTCAGATCAAGGCTAGTTAGTAGAGATGTCAAAAAAAGTGCCCCTTTTTATCAAGCAGTTTCTCAAAAATCATTGATAATAAAATACCATATGAAAAAATATGCCAGTTTTCTCAACTTTGAGACGAGTTTTATCTTTCTCGCTACCGAGTTGTGGTCCTCAGTGTAAACATAAAGAAGGAGAGATGCTGAGAAATCACCATACATGGTTTGCTTGAGGTCGTCCGGCTGGAAAGATGCGAGATCCTCACAGTAACAGGCTTCACATTTGAACACGGAATTAGTGGTGGTTCTCAACATTCCACGTACAAAACTATCATCCACGTAGCTTGTTAAAAGTGGCAAGTTCCACATTTACCCTCAAACCCTGTATCAGAATGTCTTGAGGGGCACCGAGAAATATTTCTTCAATTAATTCAAACTCCATCAGGAGTTTGAGAGGTAGTGTGATACAGTGATTGAACACACAGATGCTCCAGTTAGACTGCCCATGTTCAAATTCCCATTTTCTCCATTTTTCAAATGAAGAAAATGAATGAAGCCTGTCTCCTACAGACTGTCGTTGTGAGGATTAAATAAGCTAATACACAAAAATTACTGTTAACCGTTTTGGGCACGTAGCGGTTTTTGTGCTTGGTTACATTAAAAAAAAAATTAAAAGAAACAGAGGTGGTCTGAATACCACGTTTTGAGATTTATCTCTTTTGCTTTTTATGGCTTGGAAACCTGCCCAGACTTTTCTTTCCTTATGCATTCTTAACCCATACATTCTTTCCTTTGGCGTAATAGGACGGCACTTGGCAAATGAAGAAGTAAGAAGCTTGTGTTCACTGCTTTCAAGCTGGCCTCGTGTATGCCTTTCCTCATTTACTTTCTCCTTCCACTCTGTCCTCTCTGATAAAGCCCATTCTTAGGAAATTATCTAATGCCTTTATGCCACAATGAAAATTGAAATTAAAACGTTGCCTTTCTCAAGGATTTGGATTTTTCATTTTCGGTCGCAGCATAGAACCAAAGAGCTTTGTTCCCCACGAAAGAGATTCCACGTGCTAGTAACACACGGAAGACATGACGATGAGGGCGAGGAGGAGGACGATTTCGGGGCTGTTTAAAATACCTGTAAACACACAGACTTTGCCATATTTTGCCTATCGACTAAGCCCTGAGTTGAGATTTTTGGGCTCCCCGAGAATTTTTCTGCTGAAAACGTCTCCCTATTCTCTGAAATCTTATTGAAATTGAGGTTCTCTCTTTGCATCAATATACTGTTCTCCCTAGAACAGCTCTGTCCAGAAGAAATACAGTGTGTGTTTCACTAGCACCATTAAATTTTCTAGTAACTACATTAAAAAATGAAAAAGAAACATGAAATTATTTTTAGTGACGTATTTTCTTTAACCCAATATCTTGAAACATTATTTCAACACTAATCAATATAAATGTTATTAATGGCATATTTTATATTCTTTTTTCTTACTCAGTTTTCAAAATCAGGTGTGTATTTTACACTTAATAGCACATCTTAATGGAGACTAGCCACAATTTAAGTACTCAAGAGTCACATATGGGTACATGTCCAGAATCAGGAGACACAGTATTTAAGCCTAAATCCATCATTTAAAGATATGAAGTTCTGAAATATATAAGCATATCTTTGGTAGCAGAATAGCTATTAAATATTCACCCCCCAACGCTCACTTCCATAATTCCAAATATAACTTAAAAAAAAATAGATCAGATTCTAAAATTGTATCCCAGCTCAAGCCCTGCTTTTTAACAGCCTTGCTTTTTAATTTAGTTTTCTAAAATCAGAATGCTTCATTTGTTTTTTCTTCAAAAAAAAAGTGTTTTTTGGGGGGTCTAATGCTAATTAAGAGGTGGTGTGCAGGTGAGCGTGCTGAGAGATGAACTGATTTAAGAATTGTAGAAATATTTTTACTCCGGCATAACTCACTGATTAGGTATACTACACTTCATAGGTCCTTGTCCCCAGCACTGGCTCTGGCATGAAGAAAACTGTTACCGATTTTCCTCTGGCGCATTTAATTGGGAAAAAAGTCAGGAGAACTGCTTGTCTTTGGACGCCCATTTGTTGAAGATTAATAACACAGGTGATCTGGTGAGTTTTTATGGATGTATGTTGGGCTGGAATATTGGCTGACCGGGAAACAAATCAGGTTTAGGCCCTAGGTGAAGGAGCACTTCTTTGAGAATCAGAATATGTACCTGTTTTCTGGCCTAGTCTGGCCACTGGTTATGGCATGACCTTGCATGGAGAAGCTATGGGCTATCTCTAGGCTCCAGTGGACATTTCTATAAGAACCATCAAGAGAATGTCAAAGATCTCTTCGGGTCCTTCCGTTTTGTGAATCTAATCTAGAAAGTCCACATCGACTTTGTCATCAACTCAGAAACGTTACTCCCCACAGGAATTCATCCAGCAAGCAACCGCCCATTCCAGTTTCCCGTTCTGGATGGGGCTGTCTCTGAGGAAACCCAGCAACTCGTGGCTCTGGGAGGACGGCTCTCCTCTGATGCCCCACTTGTAAGTTTCCTATTCTCTGCTGAACCCACGAGTGAAGTCGCTGCCGCGTTCCACACACTGTCCTCTTCCTGTTGGAGAGAAGCTCAGGGGATTTCTGAGTCTCCTTCTCCAGTTCTCTCACACAGGGACTTGCCCATTTCCCCATCCAGGCCTTCTGAGTTCTCCTGCTCACTTTTATTACTAATTAGAAGCTTTAAGACAAGGCTAAGTGACACAAGGTGGAAGGAAATCTAATTTTTTTTTCCTCCTGGCCTGCAGGTTTAGAATCCAGGGAGCTTTTTCCCAGATGTATCCTTCAGGCACCTGTGCATATATACAAAGGGGAATTGTTTTTGCTGAAAACTGCATATTAACTGCATTCAGCATATGTCAGAAGAAGGCGAATCTATTGAGAGCACAGTGAATTTGAAGGCTCTGGAAGAAAAGGAGAAGAACTTTGAATTCCCTTCTGGAATTTAAGCTACACTTCGTCACTTCAGTGCAAACCAGGGGAGCCCTGAGAACTGTTGTTACTAGCTGAGGAACTGCTTAGCAGAGACTGGGGCTCCGGCTGCTTGACACCTTGATGTAAAAAGTTTTCATTCTGTTTCTTTCTATGTTAGTTCACGTATCTCGTCCCGAGCCTCCCTGCCAGCCTACACTGAAGTCCATTTTCATGTTTCTCTTGTTGTTTCTAAGAACTGTTGCTTAACTCAAGGTCACAAAAATTTTCTCCTATGTTTTCCCCTAGACATTTTGTAGTTTCAGATTTTATAGAGAAATCTATAATTTATTTTGGGTTAATTTGTAAGTCATGTATGGGTGTACGGAAGTTTTTATTTTTTATTTTTTCTGCCTATGGACGTTTCTTGTTTCCACAACATTTGCTGAAAAGTCTATTCTTTTTTCACTACATTGCCTTTGCACTTTCGTCAACAATTGTCCATACATGGGTGGTTCCGTCTCTGGACCCTCTATTCAGTTTTCCTTTGATCTATTCGTATATGTGTTGTTACAACACCATCATGCTATTTTTGGGTTCTGTCGTTTTATAATAGATCTTGAAATCACGTAGTGGTAGTTCTTCAATGTTGTTCTTTTTCAGTTATTTTACTTAATCTGTGTCTTTGTATTTCCATTTTGATTTTTGAATTTGCTTGTCAATTTCTAAAAAAAAATACCTTTTGAAACTTTGAATGTGATTGCACTGAATCTATAGATAAACTGGGGGAAAACTGAATTCCTAAAAATACCGATTTGTTCAACTTATGAACAAGGTATACATCTCCATTACTTTGATGTTTCTTATTTTCGTTAAGCAATGTTTCATAATTTTCACTGCAGAGATGTTTCCCATGTTTTGTTAGATTATCATCATGTATTTCACATTTTCATGCTACTGTAGACAAATGTAAACATTTGTAATTTTTATTTCCAAAGTCATTTGCTAGTTTATACAATTATAATAAAGTGTTTTATATCAACCTTATATCCTGAACCTTGATAAACTCACTTATTTCTTCTAGTAATTTTTATTTTGTGTGTGTGTGGGTTTCACTGGACTTTCTACATACTTAACCGTGTTGTCTACAAATAAAATTTTTTTTTCCTTCCTGGACGTTTAAATTTCTTCTCCTTGCCTGACTTCATAGACTAGAACTTCCAGTACAACGTTGAATAGAAGTGATACAGGTGCATATCCTTATTTTGTTCTTGATCTGGGAAATAAGCCATTCAGTGTTACACCATCAAGTATGGTGTAAACTGTATCTTTTTCATAGACGATCTTTATCAGTTTGAGGAATTTCCCTTTTATTCCTAGAATACTGAGAGGTCTTATCAGGAACAGGTATTGATTTGTCTAAAAGTTTCTATACCTATTGAGATGGTCATTTAGTTTTTCTCTTTTTGTGTGTTTTTAACATGGTGGATTACATTGAATAATTACAGAAGGCTAAGCCAACTTTGGGTTCTTGGGACGTATTATCATTTAATACATGATTAAATCCAGTGCACTTAGACCTGCTAAATTTAGCTTAGGGTTTTTGCAACTATGTTTAGGAAGGATACTGGGAGGCAGTTTGCTATTCATGTAATAGCTTTGTCTGGTTTAGGTTTCAGAGAAGTATTCCTTTATGGCAACCTTCTGGAAGATTTTGGGTAGAACTGGTACTGTTTGTTCATTAAATGTTTGAAACAATTTGCCACTGATGTCATCAGGGCTGGGATTTTTCTTTGTTTTACAAGATTTTTAACTATTTTTACTGTTAAAGAGTCAGTGTCTTTACCAGATGCAGTGCCAATCAGATGACTTATTCTTGAATGAGGTTTGGTAGTCGGTGTCTTTTGAGGAATTTGTCCATTTCATCTACGTTGTTTAATTTTTTTGCCCTGACATTTTTCTTCATATTTTCTTATTCTTTTAATATCTCTGGAGTCTGTAGTGATGCTGTTTCTCTCATTCCTGATGTTGTTACTTTGTGTCTTCTCCTTTTTTAAAAAAATCAGTTTGGCTGTAAGTTTAAAAGAACAATTTCATTTTTCTTCTGAGGAAGGTTTTTGCTTCATTGAATGGAATTTTTTGTGAAAAGTCAAGTCTATTACTTTTTGATTTTCGGTGTTATTAATCTCCCCTGCAATTGATATTGTTCCTTTCCTCTACTTATGTTTTAATTAGCTCTTTTTTTCTAGTTTCTATAGATAGAAGCTAGTTTGTTAAGATTTTTTTTTCAAATATAGCCATATAGTGTTATGAATTTCCCTTTAAGCACCTCTTTAGTGATTTGGAACAAATTCTAATATGCTGTGTTTTTTTATTCACTCAGTTCAAAACACTTTCTAATTTTCTTTTTAATTTCTTTTTTGATCCATTGGTTATTGAGAAGTGTGTTATTTGGTTTCCAAATCTTTAGGGATTTTCCAGAGATCACTATACTATAGGTTTCCAATTCAATTCCACTGTGGGTAGAAAACACACTTTTATGACTTGAATCTCTTAAATTTATTGAGACCCGTTGGTGATATTTTTATTTTTCTGAAGGAATTCCTTTATCATTTCCTGCAGTGAAAAGCTGCTTGTAAGGAAATCTCTCTGCTTTTGCATCGAGTTTGGAAATTTTAAGTTACTGAGCTATTAGTATGTTTTTTCCCCTCCTCGCCAAAATATCCCCCCCCCCAAACACACACACACACAACACACACTGCTCAGGGACTCCAACTGCATGTATACTGGGCTGCCAGAAGTTACCCCACAGCGCCCTAACGCTTCTTCCTTTCCTGTTTTCTTCCCTTCTTCCCTCCCTCCCTTTCCTGGTCCCTTCCTTTTCTTTTAGAATGATCTTGTCTGAGTGTTTCATTTTTGATAGTTTCTATTGTTATATCGCTAAGTCCATTCATCTCTTCCACCGAGTGTCTGTCATTAATATCACATGGTGTATGTTTTATCTCACACTTTGTGGTTCTCACCTCTAGGAGTATGCCTAAAAAAACACTTCCATGTCTCCATGGAGCTTTTTACACAGATGAAAATATGAAGAAGGTAGTACCTGTGTTAGTGCCTCTGCCTCCTGATTCTATCGTCTGAGTTGTTGTCTGTGATTTTATTTCTGATTAGAGGAGAGTTGAGCCTTGAGCAAGGTGGGGGTTAGGGGCACAAGCCCCCCGGCAGGCGAACATCCGTGTATAACTTTCCATCAGCCCTCTGTATCCTTGGCTCCAATCATGGGTGGCGTGGTACTGTAGTACAGATATAGTGGAAAAAATCCGTGTATGAGTGGATTTAGGCATTTCAAACTCATGCTGTTCAGGGATCTACTGTATAATTGACTGACAATATTATATTAAGTCAATGCTAGATAATTTAAGTTCCTATAAATATTCCAGAGTTTAATTGTGAGAGATATTTAAGTTACAAGGAAACCACATGATGTTCCTGGGTATTGTATTTATGATTATCCGGCAGTACCAAAGAAGTTCTCAGTCTGGGGTTAGCTAGTCTCCATTATGAAGGAAATATTTTCTGAGTATTCTGCCCAAAATACTCCATAAACGATGATTTTTTTTCCCCAGTCTTGCTGTTGGGAAAGAGCGCTCTTCCCTGCCGTGTGATCTTGGGTGTTACTTCCTGTATTCATTTTTGGTGGCTCTTTCTCCAGTCCCTCTGGTGATGCCCCCACGCTCACGCTCTGATCTGTAGCTGGTCCCCTGCGGATCTCTCTGGCTTCTTTCTCTGTGACGCTCTCCTCTCTCTTGTCCTTTCCTCTAAACTCTTGCTGCCTTTGTCTTTCTCAATTCGGGAGTTTCCCACTTATGTCCTCAGTTCCCCTTATGCATGTGTGGCCTGTGAACTCTGTAAACACGGAGAGCTGGGGCAACCACGGTGCTCACCTTGTCTGTTTCCATCTCTCGGGCATCCTTGTCCTCTGTTGTTTGTTACCCGGTGTTTTGAAAACTGCTTTATGTATATCGTCTGTCTCTGTTTGTTGGTTTGTATCAGGTAGGAAGGTAAACCCAGTCCTTGTTCCAGGAGAAGGATTCTGTAATTAGGTACTTTAGTTTCTCTTTCTGTTGGAGCTCCTGATACCTCAGAACAGAAACACGTTGAGCTGAGAGGATGCCTGGCGCGGGTGGGGGGGATTCTAGTCAAGACTGGAAGATGTATTTCTTGCCTATGCGTCTGGTACAGAAATTTCAAAGCTGATGACAAAGCTGTCTTCCCTCGCCAAGCTGCCAGTGGCTCTGAGTCATCGCTCAGTCACTTTTACTATTTCTGACGCCAGTTCGTCCAAACATTGGCAACTTCTGTTCCTAAACCTTAGATTTGGAGGCTATTGCCGCAATCTGATCTATCCTGGGGACTATCTCTCTGTTTATATGCTGCTTCTGGATCCCAAGCACGTAAATATTCTTGTGCTTGTTATTGTGTCCGTGAGGGCTACCGCCACAGCCGTGGCCAGGAGCTTATTTATGTCCGCCCTGAAAGCTAAGACTGGGTTTTACATTTTGAAAGCGTTATTAAAACAAACATGCAGCAAAGACTGTAAGTGATCCCCAGAGTCTAAAATATTTATTCTCTCATCCTTGGCTGAAAAAGTCTGTTAGCCTCTGATGTAAATAACTTACTGTGTGAGGCGTGTTCATTTCTCTGAATTGGAACTGAGTTCAAATCCCAGTATCTTCTTATCTCTGTGGTCTGAGGAAACTTACTTAACATCTTATTAGCTTGCTTCCTTTAACTGAACGTTAGAAGAACACTAGTAACTCAGAGACCCTCCTGTCATATCTAGCAGTTCATGGACACTTGAGAATTTAATGGAATAATATTTATATAATAATTCACGCAGCGCCTGGGATTTGGTGAGAGTTCAGAAATGTTAACTATACTGTTCGCTCATTTTTTCCCTGTCTTTATAGGGTCCTACAAGGGTTTCTGTTTTTGATAGGAGGTTCTTCATCTCTTACAGCAAATTGACCAAATAACTTAAAGGTCCTCTTAACTTAGGTTTAATTGGGTTTGTAAACATTGCTTAGCATTCTTGTTTATTGTTGTTGTTGGAATACTGTATTGAGGGATGTTCCCTGACTTGGCACTTGTTTCCTGAATCATAAAATTATTGTTTAGCGTTCCTTTCATTTCCTCTTTGTAGAGATTTTCTGAGTTTATTAGGGCCTGCGGGACATCTGGGTCAGCAAGGGAATAGATGACGTGGACTGGAGTAAATGCGCAGCCTAAAACTGAGTTAAGTTTCCTTTGGCCAGAGGGCGCGAGCCGGGATGACAGCCTCTCAGGTGGCTCTGAGGGACTGCTCCGCAGGGGTAGGGGAGGAGCTAGGATATATAGGAGCTTTACAGCACAGACCAGGTGGTTGGAACAATAAAAGATTACTTGTTATCTAAAGAAAAACAGGCACCTCAAGATAAGAATTTAGTGCTTTTCTGTATATGGGAGGAAGCAAACATTCGGGCTCACTGAATTCATTCCTTTGACAAGCATCTAGCTATCTAGGGCCAGTATCTTGTCCTTTCTTAGTCTGAGTCCCCTTCAAGTGCCCCATTGTGAGTGGCTGCAGAGGCCAGTCTGTGGGCTGGTCTTCACTGGGGGTGGGGGGGTGGCAGCCGCTGATGACTTGATGGCTTCAGCATTCTTTGTTTACTGATATGGTTGGCAGTATTTTTTCTTTCACAATGGTATTTAAGTGAATGTTATTTCAAATATTGAATTACCTTAGAGTATTTTGCAGACTTAGACTGTGCTGGTTTGGAAACAGGAGTAGAATGTATATGCTTTCTGAATCTATTGTTTGAGTTTTTAAATCTTAACAAGTAAAATGAACAAATTTTTAAAAATCTCGTCTTTATGTCTTATTGGCTCCAAATGTATCTTCTTTGCAGCTACATTTACTTCCAAAATCCTCTCCACCTCTCCCTCTCCACGATCAGTCACCTTCAACCCGGTGACGTGCGAGGTACTATCCTGTGAAAGATGCCGTGGACCAGACAATTGATGGGCCACTCATTTCCTGGGGGTAAATCTTAAAATGAGAGAGAAGTATGTGATTCTACGCATTTGGACAGTTGGGAACCTCAGCATTCTTAGTAGGGCTGTTAGCCATTTGACTTGTACCTGGACCCTAAGAAAATCTCAGTGGCTTTGAAAATGATTAAATTGGCTTTTGGTAGAAGCCATTTAAACTTAATGGTCCATGTTCTACTGCAGTGAGCAGTCACAGGCCTCAGCTCTGTTTTGGTTCTTTTACTCCATTAAGAGCACAGCTAGGTGGGGTGCTCAGTGGGAGAGCACGTGCTTAGCAGGCACGAGGCCCTGGGTTCAATCTCCAGCACTTCCCTTACAAAATAAATGAACAAACCCAATTATCTTCCCCTGAGAAAACAAAACAAAAATACTAAAAAAAATATAAATAAAAGCACAGCTGACAGATAATTTATAATTCCACTCTTACAGAATAAGCAATCCAGTAGTAATATAAATAATTCAAGTTTGGTAAAGCATCCTGCATGCCTGCCAGCAGGAATCTACCTAAATACATTCATAAACATCAAACCATCTGTGTTTGCTAAGTTCTTTTCTGGTATATGCTTATATAGTACTAAGTCTTTTACTTAATTGCAATAATCCCAAATATTAAAAAAAATTAAATAAACAACTTTTTCTAAATATTATGCCCATCCTATTAAGCATGTGTGTTATGTATGGGAAATGATGTAGGTGCATGATATATAACTTTAAAATACTTGTTCATATACATCAGTAACTTAAATATCAAAATACTATCAGGATACTTTCCCCAAGTTATTCTAATTTACTGTGACAAGGAGATGTGGAGTTGAGATTTTTCTCACTCTTTTTTGGGTACATTCATTCATTCATCTAACAGTGCTCTCTCAAATGCCTCCTTCCTTAGTGCCAACAGAGTAGACAGTAATGAATATATGGAGATTCTATTTTCAGGGTACTTACAGTCTACTGTGTTGGAAGGAAACAATTAAATTAAAGATAGCTACATATATACAATTTTATTTATTCTCTTAACATATGAAGTGGTACTCTAGATGCTGGGAGTTTGTAATGAACAAGGCAAGTTTCCTGCCCTTCAAGAAGGGATCATACACTGGCAGATACTAAAAACTAAAAGGACAGTAAACATCAGCAGTAGTTATTGAAGGAATCCAAGCCTGAGCACCACAAAATAACCCCTCGAAACTACAATTTCTTAGGAATGAGGAAATATAGATGCCTTTAAGCAGAGCAAAAGTCACGTTTTTATTATGAGTCAGGTCCAGACTGCAGAAATTTTCAGTTTTGCTCATTAAGTGCTTAAAATAGATGAACTTCCTCTAACTTGCCTTGAAATTTGCAGCACAAAGCAGCAGGTGGCACCATCACCTCATTCACTCCTGCCTGATTTTGCTAAATTTTTTTTTTTTTAAGTGAAGGCAAGTTTATTTAGGGAGATAGGTACTCCATAGACAGAATGTGGTCCAATCTCACTCAGAAGGGAGAGTAGCTTAGAAGATACACATTACACAGGCAGAATGCAGACATCTCAAAAGTCGAGAGGGAGAGAAAGCATGAGGTGTGGGAATGCTTCATTTAAAGCAGATGCACATGCCATAGACAGGGTGCAGGCCATCTCAGAGGGCAACAGAGAGAGTGACAGCGCGGTGTCACGTTAGTTTTTATGGGCTTGGTAATTTCATGTGCTAACAAGTAGGATTATTCCAACTATGTTGGGGAAGGGGTGGGGATTTCCAGGAACTGGGCCCCATCCACTTTTTGGCCTTTTATGAACAGCCTGGGAACTTTCATGGCAACTGTGGGTGTGTCATTGAGCATGCTAATGTACCCAAGGAGCGTATAATGAGGCTTGAGGTCTACTGGAAGTCAACTCTTCTGTCATCTTGATTCTAACCAGTTCATCCTATCCTCAACGGTTGTGTCATTCCTTCAGTGGTTGTGCCCTGCCCTCTTCCCTCCTGTCTCATTCCACCCACTCAGATTTTACTTCCATAATCTTATGGGAAGCAGAGGGGTGATGATCGATCTTCTGTAGCTGCTTCAGGGCTGAGTAGGGGCGCTGACCCTGCCTGTCAGGGAAATCTCTAGAAGTCTGGTCTAGGGGTCCCAGGAGCAGGACAGCTTCTTGTTTCTACTCAGAGGGTGGCATAGACTGGAATCCTCCAATAGCCATCGTCTTGATGTGGAACCTCCCAGAGAGAGTGATACTTAAGATGAGAACTGAGTATCACGAAAAATCCCACCAAGTAAAGCTCTCTAGGCAAATCACATCAGCCAGGGTATAGGTGCAAAGTCCCTGAGACGGGAACAACTTGATGCGTTTGTGTGATCAAAAAGAAGAATCTTATGTGATATCATTTATATGTGGAATCTAAATATTTTGTCCACTGTGTGGTCAGGCCACTCAAGGTGATTTTAGGATTACAAACAAATTTTACCACGTAAGTAAATTTGCTATTCTGGACTCCTGGATAATAACTATATATATTTCATATTAACAGGTCTGTGTCAATTTTCCTTTAGTAAATATTGTATTCTGCATGGAAGTTGATTCACAGAGCTCCCAGTTACACTGACATCTGGTTTTGGGAACAAGTCGGAATGGTTTGGAATTGCCCGTAGATTTTAAATAAACGTCATAAAGTCAAAGAAACAGAAGTTGAGTTATTTCAATTACCATTCTATGCAACTATTTGTAATTATTATCTGTACTTACATACGTTTCAATTTGTAGAGACATTTGAAATCTTCTAAAATTGATCCTGAAGAAACAAAGACACGAACACGATTGAAATTTCTAGAATAATTGTGAAATAGGAATTTTCTAAATCTTTGCCACAATATTCTAGTATAAATCTTTTTCTTATTTTTATATTAGTTGTTTCAATGGAAGAACCTTTTCAAAATTAAACAAAAAGTGGTTTTAAATCAATTGATGTGTCAGGGTACACGGTCTAGCCAACATGAACATGTGAAAAAGATTAATCTTGATGAAATTATTGACCAATTTGGAGAAGGTATGGGTCCAAAACAGAAATTGTAATGTTGTTATTTATTACTGTGATACACTTTTATATAGGTATAAATTCCTTCTCCCTTTTCCAAAAACAGTATTAATATAATCAAAAAGATTTTTATCCATATAATTAAAAGTAGTTCGTACAGTATTTATTTTAGTGTACATATATATATATGTACCTTTCAATTTTTACTGGCATGATTTTATATATAAAATTCAATTAAAAACTCACTGCTTCCATTTGTTTTCTGATTATTATTACTATCATTCATTCCATTTCGTGATTATTACTAAAAATCTGTCATTTAGAGAAGGAGGCAAAAAAAAAGTAATAAATGAGCTGTTGAAAGTATGCTAGGTGCACCACTGCTCAAGGTACTCAAGGATTAGTGAGGGAAACAGTTATAAGTACCCACCAGTAAGAAAATGACATATAAATATCATTTCTTCCTTGGAGAGACTGGAAAGTTTCAAACACAAATGCCACGTGAGAGTGATGTTTATATACGCTGTGTACACGTCCCCCCAGTCCAATGGAAGGGACAGGGCTCAAGTTAGATGGATAGCAAGGTCATATGTGAAATGTGAGCAGTGTAACCAGCTGAAACCACTAGACCATGAACAGAACAGAAAAGGGCAGTTGGACTGGGGAAAAAATGGTGAAGAACACAGTTTCACTCTGAAGGATCTTTCCATTATAAAGAGAGCCTTTGGCTTAATTAAAAAAATTTCAAGGACTCCACGAGAAGATTCCATGTCATTTGTAGTTAAGCATGACTACCACTGGAAAGAATGTTGTGAATGAAGCTGAGCCATTTTTGGGGTCTGCCCAGCCCAGGGCACACTTAAACAATTTAAGTAATTTATTTGGTCTTGATCCTGAGAATATAGTTAATGTTCAGTTGAGATTTAATTGCTTAATGGATGGATGGAGGGAAGGAGGGAAGCAGGAGACCCAAGTTAGCATTCACACCTGAGGTGGAATTTGAGGATTTTTTGGGTGAAATTTGTGAACGTAAATAGAGAAGTTATTTGAAATGTTGCTGTCTTCCGAAGGCTTACAATTTCTTTCTCTACAAAGGTTCTTAAGGGAATGATTAGTTTGTGAATAATCTTGCCACCTATTTAATTCATTTATTTCTACATATTCATATAATCCGTTCTCTTTATTCATTTATTTATATCAAATTTCCAAAAAGTCACATTGGACCTGTGCCTCAGGATCTCCTGTGTTTCCATTTCCTGGTGTGACGCTCATTCTAGTAAACTTACCCAAATAGATACTTTTTTGGGAAGGATATTATTTTTGAGATTTCATTCTGGGAACAAACGCTACTGCTGACAACAGTTCAACATATGAAAAGGTAGACTTTGGTTTGATTCCTTGCTTCAAAATTTTTATTAGCTTCTTAAAACTGAGCAAGGGAGTCAAATTCCTCTGTGTCAGTTTTGTCATTTGAAAATCGGGCTAAAAACAGCCACCTCAAAGATGTGTTGGAAAACTGAGATTGTATGAGAAAACACGTGCAGTGGACAATACTTAGCTCATAGCAATTGTTGAACAAAGAGTTTGCTACTTTGTGTTCTTGACCTCTGACAAATCTCCAAGAGATTTGCTTCCTCTGTTGTTACAACAATGTACCTGAGGCATCTTTCATACACCTACCTGTGGGTTTTCACTTGTTAGTCAATGAGCTTCCTCACAGGTATCTACCCATCTCTTGTGCTAGCTTATAGTTCTCTTAAGACTCCTCAGTCTCAGAAACAGGATCTAAAGGTACCAATGGGAAACTACCACAGCATAGTTTTCATTTCCTGCTTTTGGGTATCTGCTTGGACTACTTAAGCTCAACTTGTTAACACTTAGTGAACGCCTCTGCCACATGATTTGACTCATAGATCCTCTTTTGTCCACAGGCAGTTGTCTTAGGAGAAGAGAAGAAAGAGCTCTCAAATGCTGTGCCAATTCTGGAACTCAGTAGAATGATGGAATACCGTTCGTCACTGGAAAATTTGGATGAGGATGGATACACTCAACTAGACTTCAGCTCTCGCCACATCACCAGGAGATCCGTGGACTCAAAGAAAGGTATACTTTTCTTCCTGACTTCAACATTCTCATTCTCAATGACTAAAACTGGAAGTGGAAAAAGAATTTTGAGAGACTAGTGATTTGTTGGGGCTTTATTAATCTATTTTTAAAGGTTTCAGAAGCCCCTGAAGATAGTTTGACTGTGTGCTAAGCCTTTTTTTTATGGCAACCATTCAGTGACCAATCTTTAGTACAGTTGACCCTTGAACAATGTGGGTTTGAACTGCACAGGTCTACTCATACATGGACGTTTTTCAGTAGTAAATATGACAGTGCTCCACAATCTGCAGTTGGTCGAATCTGCGGATCCTGATCTACAGACAGGAGGAATCGCAGATATAAAGGGCCGACTACAAGTTACAGGGAGATACAGGGAGATTTTTGACTGGGGGGGTGGGCCCCTTAACCCTTGGGTCATTCAAGGGTCAACTGTATTTAATTATGATGATAGAAAATACAATTTCTCTGTTCTGTAGAAATAAACTCTTCAAAAGTGAGGAGTTGGTAATAAGTGTGATGAAATGCAATGATGATAGAATTCAAAGGGAGTAACTTGTGGCTTATTTGTTAGAAACGAGCAAGTTGTAGAATGGAGGTCAAGGACACTTGAAGAAAGAAGTGTATATGACCCGCATCAGGATGCTGGAGAGAAGAAAGGAAAGATGGAAAAAACCACTTGTGATTTTGCAGAAAAGGCCAAAGGGAAGTCAGAAGTCATAAGATTTAGAATCCCAAATCTGATTTTTTTTTTGATTTGGAATTTTTTAAGGCAAAAGGGAGTTCTTTGTATACCAGTGAAGAAAAAAACCTATGTGTTAGTTAAAAATATCTCATTATCAGGACATGTGACTTAGAATGTAAAAGAACTGAAATTTAGAGAAGGGCGTTAAGAGGTCTCTGTCTTCATTAAATGAGCAATTAAATCTCCTCTGTGATTCTTCCTATTTGTCAATTCTCTGAAATGCTTTCACTGCTTAGTCTCAGTCTTGGTGTAGTGATAGTAACATCAAGTGAGCTGCTTGTTATCAAAAGAGAGATTATTTACAGGTTTTGAGGCAGAATTTTCTCTCTTCTGCTTTCTGGTCGTCCACATTGCACAATTATTTATCTCTTGTCACTTAAGCAATTCTTTTCTTGGGCAACCTGTCAGGGAAGAGTGGAAAACTGGATGATGCAATGGGCAGGGAGGCATGTGTGTGTTTATACACATTTGTGGACAAACTGAGAGTTGTCTATCATGCACTGGTAGGTGCTTTTATGCGTGTCAGCTTATTTAATTCCCACAGTAATCCTTTGATGTATTATTACCCTGATTTTTCACAAAGAGCATTGAAAAAAAGCAGAGGAAGTAATTTGCCCAAGGATATGCAACAAATAAGTAAAAGGGGAAGATTACCCTTGGCAACCAGTGCTATTTCTGCTACATTAAGCTGTCTCTTCGAAGCCTGAGTAGGATTTCAGGAATCCTGGCAGCGTCAAGACCTACAGACATCAATGTGGAACTGAAATTAGGAGTGGGCAGATCCCACGGCATGGGGCTCAGATGACAGTTTCAGAACCTGAAGAAATGTGTTAAAGGTGGAGCAAAATTCAGACTAATCCAAGATGAGTCGGTTTTCTGGGGGTCAGATTTTGATGAACTGTAGGACTGAAGTGCTCCATGATCCAGAGACTCACCTTCTCTCTTCACTTTCAGCTTCCTTTGGTTCCTTACGACCTTGTGCTCCATCCCCTTGTTGGCGTCCCGTTGCTGTGACTGTGGGGATTTTATGCTTGGTAATGCTGGTGACAGCCGTGGTCCTAGGTACCATGGGTGAGTTTGGTTGGGGAGATGCACAACAATGGAGATTCAATAAACATTTATGATGTCCCAGGCACTCTTTTAAGAGCGTAACATAATCTAATTTAATCTGTATATTGACTCTACTGAATTGGTGGTGTTAGTTCTCATTTTATTTCTAGGGTCATAAACTGGTTAAGGTAGGGCCGTGATTAAGAATTTAGGTGATCTGTCTGAAAAACTCACACTCCTAACTGCATTTCTCTGCTACCCCCTTGAATAGCTGGTTTCAAAGCTGTGGAATTCCTAGGATAAATTAATGAAAGGAAACCAGTGGAGGTGAAGAAGGAAGTACAACTGGTGTTCATCTTCCTAATGAAATAAATTCTCTAAAGAGACTCTAAGCTCATTTTATGTCTCAAGATTCAAGGAAATTGTTTTATTACTGATCTTTAATATGAATCCTTTCGGTAATACCAGGAAACACCGAAGGCTCATTCCAAGTACGAAGTAGGTATTTTGTAATGGATGAACACATTTCCTTAGATTTTATATCTCTTGCATTCTACTGTCAACAAAGCATTATGGTGTCTTCACAGAGTCTTTATGAAAGATTCCTTAATTAGTCAAGTGTTTATTGAGTACATTTTATGTTGTAGGCACCAGGCAAGTCCTCAAGGATTCTCATTCTCAAATGATAGAAAATAGAAAATTTATTACTGTTTCAAAACTATCATGGCTCCAAATGACAGTATTTTATTTGCCTCTTGCTTTCTCTCTAACCCCTTCTTCTCTATCTGCTTCGTTTTTCTCTTTCGCATTACACTTTCTTCATGGAAGTTATTTCTTTTTTCCATCTATTTAATCTATCATCTATTCTATCCATATCTGTTTATCCATCTTTACCTCTCCATCAGCAACATATTATGCAGTTATCATTACTCAAGAGTGTATCCCTTTGAACCCTCCTACACTGTTGGTGAGAATGTAGTTTGGTGTAGCCATTACAGAAAACAGTATGGACATTCCTTAAAACACTAAAAACAGACCTACCCTATGATCCAGCAATCCCTCCTGGGCATCTATCTGGAAGAAACTCTAATTTGAAAAGACACATGCACCCCAATGTTCATAGCAGCACTAGTTATAACAGCCAAGACATGGAAACAACCTAAATGTCCATTGACAGAAGAATGGATAAAGAAGTTGTAGTGTGTATACACATATACAGACACACACACACACACACACAATGGAATACTACTCAACCATGAAAATAATAAAATAATGCCATTTGCAGCAACATGATGGACCTGGAGATTGTCATATTAAGTGAAGTAAGCCACAAAGAGAAAGAAAAATACCATGTGGTATCACTTAATGGAGAATCTTAAAAAAAAGGACACAAATGAACTTATTTATAGAACAGAAACAGACTCACAGACATAGAAAACAAACTTATGGTTACCAGAGGGGAAAGGGGGTGGGGAGGGATAAATTGTGAGTTCAGAATTTGCAGATACTAATTACTAAACATAAAATAGATAAACAACAAGTGTACTACATAGCACAGGGAACTATATTCAGTACCTTGTAATGTCCTATAATGAAAGAGAATATGAAAGGGAATATATATATGTATAGATGAATCACTACACTGTATAGCAGAAACTAACACAATGTTGTGTATAGACTAAACTTCAATTAAAAAAATAAAAATCACACACAAGAAGAACGTATCCCTTAACAGTCCAACAAAAATACGGGTTTGGGGGTTTTAATTTTCAAACATAATAACATGACCTTTTTCTCTGTCATTATTATTATTATTGTTCTTATATGAAGCTATATGGAGATCCAGTTCAGGGAACAACCCATTGAAGAATGACAACTTTCCATCAAGAAATAAGGAGCACCGCAGTCAACCCACACAGTCATCTTTAGAAGAGAGTATGGCTCCGACCAAGGCTCTCACAGGCAAGGGCAGAGTTAAAGGATGGATAGCAACCTTGACTCAGAAGGGTTCATTGTTGGTGCTAAGGTTTAGAGCAGGGGGTGAAGAAAGGGCTTTTGCATGCAGTGATCGCGCATTCAGGGAAAGAACACGGCAGTGTTATCTCAGTAAAATACACCCGTCATAGATACAGTGAAGTGACACAAATGCCTTATAAACTTGGTTGAACAGTTGTAGACTGGATTTTTCCCTCAAATCAGTATCTAATTGATCACAGACTATGTCTTCAGGCTTATCAGAGATTGTACAACTTGACGTGAAGGAACAAGCTGTGTTCTCCTGCTTTAGGAAACTGACATTTCAAAGTAATATAATTAAAATAGGAAATACGATGTCAGAACAGAAAAAGGAAAGAAGGGAAATTGTTGCTAAGAATTAAGAGGCTACGTTAAACATGCACAGAAGAGATTTACCCGATAGATATGTTTCTAAAAACTGGCTAAATTTGTTTTCCTTTAATCATACAATTTCATTGATCTAATTATAATCTTTTAATATAATGAGCTTCAATTTCTGATTGCGTCATGATTGACTATGACAGTATTTTGACTTCAATTTTCCATCTCTGGACACATACCTCCTCACTATTTGTATCAAGTAGCTAATAAATCAAAACCAAGAGACTCTACAGGGTGAATAATAGCTCTTACACTTTTCTTCTCACTGGGAAAATTGCGTTCTGAAATGGACCTCACACCTATAAAGTAAGTTAACATGAACTTACTCTATAGCTCAATGAGTGATTTTGGGTTGATTTATTTTAAGTGTCATCCTGGAGAAAGGGAATTCTGGGCTGAATTTGAAGAAAATGGAAGACAAGTCAAGAAGGAAAGGCAGGTGGACTGTCTAAAACATTGCTTATCGTTACTCAATGCGTTTTTAAATTTAAAATGAGTAGGAGGATCTTAACGTGGCTTCTTCTGCAGTGCCATATCCCTACCGTTTGAACTGAAAATAAAATATATTAATGGCAAGTCATTGATCATTGATGGAGTGTCCTCAGGGTGAATGGTACTTACACTAAAGGAGGGGATTGGTATAGAATGAACCTCATTGTATTTACCTTTATTTCCAGGAATTCTTCCTAGCTCGTGTCCCCCTCACTGGATCACACATGAGAATAGCTGCTACCTATTTAGGACATCATTAGATTCCTGGGACGGAAGTAAAAGACAGTGCTCTCAGCTGGGCTCTCATCTCCTGAAGATAGACAGCTCAAAAGAGTTGGTAAGTGTAGATGTCAGTCACAAGTATCTGTGGGCTATACTGAGCATAAATACAGAGGTAGATTCCTGCTAGTGATGATTTTCCTTAGAAGAACGTCATTTTACATATTCTCCATAATTTTAATAATAGCATGCAATACGTGAGTAAAGTTCACAATATATGCTTCTATTTTTCATGAGTTAATCAAATAAGCACATTTTACTTTAAAAACAAATCCTTTCAAACACACTCCAAGTCTGCATGACTAAAACAATCAGGTCACTAGTCATCTTTGTGGGTTTGGATTTCAGTTGTCAAACTGGTGGAGTGAAATAGAAAATTGTCCCCCTTGTCATCATCATTATCAAGAAAAATCGCAGCTGTGACAATACGCATTTATAAATCATTTACTTCTTGCAAGATATTGGGAAAGGCAAAGAGGTGTAAAAAAGTAAGCTTGCTATTGCAAGGGTCATTCAATTTGTAAGAAAATAGAAGCAATTCAACTGCTGTGAAAAGTTAAACATTGGGTATCGGCCACAAATACCATAGAAGTTCAGAGAGAGATCCCCTTCGACATAAAAAGTTGATGCCACAGTCTGCCTGCATCCCCCACCAAGGTGACTCAATCTGTTGCCTCTCAAAACCTTTGAGACTGTCTGTCTGTATCTTCTGTCTTTGTCTCTCCATCTCTAGCTCATGTGTTTGTCTTTATGTTTCCTTACAGGAATTTATATCATGGCAAGTGTCCTCCCAGCCTGATCATTCATTTTGGATAGGGCTTGCTCGCCGTCAGACTGAAGGACCGTGGCTCTGGGAGGATGGTTCAATGTTCTTGCCTGACGTGTAAGTGTCTGGAGAACCAAAGCGTCATAGCCTTTCCCAGGGAGGTGAGAGCTTGTCAGTTAAGAATCTGATCTGTTGGCCACAATAAGAAAGAGAGAGAAAAAGATACATAGTGGTGAGGAGAGAAAGAGTGAGTCAGGAAAAAAAACAAAACAAAACAGGAGGGTAGGGGGGACATTCGAGTCAAAAAGAGCTGAGTAGCCACGTAGGGCTACCGACATAATTATTCCCTCCAACAATTGATAGCATCCTGGAATCAATGAAAATATAACCCTAGAAAACAATAGATGTACAGATTTATGCAGTTTATTGGATTTTCCCACATATTTATGATTTTCATTGCTTCTTACTCCTTTCTACCTCTCCTACCTTCGATTTTGAAGTTTTTTTTTATCTGAAGAATACACTTTAGTATCTCCTTCAGACTTGAAATTTTAAAGTTGGATTCTCTGTGTTTGTCTAGAACTGTCTTTATTTTAACTTTTCTAAAAAAAAGTTTTAGTATAAAATTAGAAATGTGTAGTTTTTTCTCTCAGGCATTCAAAGATACTATAATGTTTTCTACTTTTTTTATTGTTGTTTTGGAAAGGTCAGCTATTTGAAAGTAATACATGTTTAAATCTGATGTCTTTTTTTCAATTTTGAAGCGTTGTAAGCCATATTTGTGTCAAATGTCACCTCCTCCCTTCCGGACTTGTAGTTTTATGTATTCATAGTACCCTACGTGTTTCCTTTGCTTTTTCCTGCATTTTCATCCTTTCTCCTTTAATCTATATATTTAAGTCTCACATATCTTCCAGTTCATTTTTTTTCTCATCTGTAGCTCATCTGCTGTTAAAAGCCTCAATTAAAATTTTAATTTTTTTGGATTTGTTCTTTTTTTTTTTAATAACAGCTTTATTGAGGTGTAATTTACATGCCATAAAACTCATCCTTTAAAAGTGCACAATTCGGTGGTGGTAGTGTATTCATCGAGTTGTATATCCATCATCACTATCTCATTCCAGAACATTTTCATCACCCCAAAGAGAAGTCTTGTTCCCACTGGCAATCCTTCCCCATTATCTCCTCTTCACCCTGTCCCTGGCAACCACTTACCTACTTTCTACGTGTACAGATTTGCCTCTTCTGGACATTTCATGTAAATGGAGCCATGCAGTATGTGGCTTTTCGCGTCTGGCTTCTTCCACTTAGCATAATTGGTCCATCTATATATTAGTACTAACATGTATTCATACATTGTGTTTATCCAGTCGTCTGTTGATGAACATTGGAGTTGTTGCTGCTTTGTGGTTGTTCTGCATAGTGCTGTCATGAACACTGTTTAGTGAATTTTTCAGTTTTATAACTTCTCAGATCTACTCAGTCACTGTCTATATTTCCTAGCTTTCTTTCAACAGTCTCAGTGTTGTCTTTAGACTCCTGGAATACACTGTATACTTCTTTTAACATTTGTGTTGGATAAGGCCAGTGTTCTATACTCATGTGCACCTGCTTCCATCATCTCTTTCTTGTATTTTTATTCATCTTGATTTGTTTTCTTGTAGGCCTGATTATTTTTGCTAGCGTGTTTAATGTTGTATCTTAAATATTTGTAGAATTAATTTGAAGTGTGCAGAGTGGCTTTTCATTTGCTTCTCATAGGCACTCCGGGTGTGAATAGTGCTAACTCCTGAGTATGATCGCACTTTGATTTTAATACCACTTCACTATTTCACTTCGAATAGCCCAAGCACAGTGAATTTATTAACAATCTTAACAAAATATATCTCTTAATTTTCTATAGCATTTGTCTGAGTTTTCTTTTGCTATTTTAAAACATGACTAGTGGACTCTCTGAAGTCCTAAGTAGAGGTTTGATGTGTAACTACTCATTGGTGACAGTGATTTAATCTGGCTTGTACCTACCCCCCAAATCTCTTAGATGTCAAGAAAATATTCTGGTCAGAATTTCCCTGAGACTGGGCCTTAATCTAGTCATTTCTGCAGAAGCATTTTCTCAGTCCTTCAACTCCAGGGCCAAGGAAAGATAGATGTGCAAGATGAAGAGCACCAGACCACAGCTTGTACACTGAGGCTCACTGATGCCCATTGAGTTTTGCTAAATAACCCGGCTTCTTTAGGAAATTAAAGAGCAAATAGGACACAGCCCTGCCTCTATCTACCCATGGCCATTCTCATAGTGGTCTACATTATACTGCAGTACACAGCTCAACCTTCAGGATGCACTCAACATATAGAGTTGTTTGAACTGCCTCTAAATGGCCTTGATATCTGTGATTCCTCACTTACTTCTTGATAACTTTCAGCAAGAACTCTTCCACTCACTAAATACACTCAATAATAATTTCACTAAACTGTTGCTTTATTTGATAAATATACTTCTAGGTAAAAGGTTGAAAGATAAGTAAAAGAAAAAAACTGCCTCTACAATATTAAATGGTTTTTCTTTTTTGTCAGAGGTTTTATTTAGTTGTATGCAACTAGTTGTATTTCTTTAAACATTTTTGAGTCATTTTTATGACTTAATAATGAAGACGATTTTGTTACCATTTGGAAACAAATAGAATCTAAATCTAAGTTTCCTTTTCCAATAATATATACACTTCAGAAACTCTCTTTGCCAGTATCCTTACCAATTTATTTCAGCTCTGTGTAGACAGTAGACAACATTTCTTACGTTTGTTCCCATTACCTCCCTATGTTTTATTTTAACAGGTTTCAAATCAGAAGCACAGTTACCCAAGAAGACTCATCTCACAATTGTGTGTGGATTCATGTGTCAGACACTTACGACCAACGTTGCAGTGTGCTTTCGTACAGTATTTGCGAGAAGAAGCTGTCAATATAATGGTGGGGGTGTCACCAGGGAAACGCAAAGAGAAGTATGTAGGATAGTAAGAAAGGCAGGAAACAAAACAGAAAAGAGAGATGATTGAGGTCAAAACAAATGCTGAAAATAGCAAGAGAGCACAGTCATCTTAGCTGAGAAACAGGACGGGGAGGCTGGGATTTCTGTATTTACCAACTCCGCTGGGCAACCCGAATTATATTCTAGTTATTAGAGCCCTAGAAATGGAGTCCAGGCAGCTGAACTTGAATTTTCTTTCTACCGCTGACTCTGTATTTACCTGGGATTAGCCACAAAGGTGTTTCAAGATCTTAATTTCTGGCTATACCGGAGTTTTTTTTTTTTTTGTCCTTATAAAGGGCCACTGGAGTACCTCTGGTTTGTTTCCATGATTTGTTCCTGCACTTTCAGCAGTGTATCAGACACAGGAGGAATTTTTTCTTTTATTACCACAGTTTAATGATTTTTTAAAATGTAGAAGCACAGGCAAGTTTGGCGGGGAGGGGGGTGGCTAGAAAGAATTATCGGGGGTAAAGGGAGCTCTCCAGGTGTCTGTCCATTTCATCCAGGCAGCTCTCATGATGGGTGGTATTGAGGGTGGCCTGGAGGGGCATGGTCACCTCCCCTCCGTGTCCTCAGACCGCCTGCTAGAAATCTTTTTTGAATAGCTAAATGAAGGAAAGAAAAAAGAAACTTCACTAAATCAGAGCCATTTTACTATTTCATTCATTGGTGTGGTCATGATTTTGCTCAAAATCATCATAAAAATTAGCAATTCCATCTTTTTTTCCCTCAATTAAATAGCTGACAGATTATGCCTGCCATATCTCTAACTAGTAGAATCTTGTATAATGTGAAATTGTAGGAATTTGCTCTTACAAAAAAGCTTTCTCCTTTTTAAATACTATCAATCAAAAAAAGATCTGATAATAAATATAAAAAGTAACCTGTCTTATTGACAGAAGTATTACCATTTTGTAATGCAAAGTGTGTTTTATTACTTTTTATGATTACTGTTTGCAGTTGTCAGCAATTCCTTAGTAACTACTATAAAAAGGTACTTTTGGAACATCACTATTTTGTCTCTTTCTTGTTTTCTTTTAAACTTTTCCACTGGTGCTATTTATATTTCCCGGGGGGGGGGGCGTTTCCAAATCACTGGGGAGCCATTTACACCCTTCCCGTGTTTATTAATATGTGAACAGAAATCGTGTCAAATTCACTGGATTTGTCACTTTAAAATGGTTAATGTTATGTAAATTTCACTTTAATCAAAAAATGTTAAAGAACCTCTGGCCTTTAAATTATGTTCTGTGTGTGATTAACCCTATCACTATTTGCCTCTCCCCCAAAATGGTGACGAATTTGGCACTGGGGAGGAGGTAGCACAGTAGGTAGTTTTGTGATGAAGCATAAATTTTGGATCTTAAATATTTAAAAATCTGACAGAGGAAAATAGAGAGTTTTGATGAGGTTAACTATTTTCTTTTAATGCACTAACCTGTGCTGTCGCTCTCTGAAAAGAAATGTGGAAAGGCAAAGATAATTCAGGGTGAAAGCTCAATTAAGGCACAAAGTGAGGTTTGGAAGAGAGGCCATGTATTTTCATTTGGTTTTGGTTTGGTGGGTTCCTCCTGTGTCCTCCTGCTGGAGTGGTGAGTTGAAGAAATCATGACAATCAAGGGAAATAATTCTGTATGCCGAATGTCCAGAAGTCCCTCTCTAGAACAGCCAGGCTAGCAACAATAACCTCCAACTTAGAGATAAAAGCCTGACTTAAACAAAAGTGATGGCGGACAGTAGGAGTGCTCCAGGTTGGCCAAGGCATACCATAGCCCACTCGTTAATACACATTTACGCCACAGCCTACGTGGAAACGTGCGTGGGAATCAACACAAAATACACACACTTTTCCAAGAGATGGAAAGGGAAGACAGTTTCTAGCTGGACTTACGTCTGAATTCAAGATGAGTAGTGATCATACTGGAAGAAACACTTACCCATCCCAGGGCCCCTGTCTTCTCCTGCCTGAGTTACTGCAGCAATTTTCAAAGAGGTCTCCTAGCATCTGCACTCATCTTTCTTTCGTTCATTTTCAAACATAGCAGAGTGATGCCATTACATTTAAAACAAATCATGCCAGCTCTCTATTGAAACTCTCCTCGACTTCCCACATACCAGGGTTAAAAAAAAAATCAAAACAGAAAACAAAACAAAAGACCTTTACAATTGTATGCAAGGCAATTGCTGTGGCCCGCTTTACTCCTTTGAGCTAAGCTACTTTTCTCGTCTTCACTTACCCTGTTCAAGACGCTGGTTTCTGTATTACTTCTCAACCACAGCTAACATCTTTCCATCTCAGGGCCTTTGACCTTCCTGTTCCCTTTGCGTGAACAATTCTTATCCCCAGTATCTGCAGGACCTCCTCTTTTACTTCTTTCAAGTTGCTATACAAATATCACATCTTTTTTTTTTTTCAAATATCACATCGTAATGAGGCTGACCGTGACTACCTTATTTAAAATTACCAGCCCACCTTCCTGTAAATTCTTAATTTCCCTCACCTCCGTATATTACCATATTTCTTATCATATTCTAACATATTCCACTGTTTACTTACTTATTATCTTTCTTGTATATCAGCTGCCGTCCTCCCTACAGTGCAGGCTCTAACAGTGCAGAGGGCTTTGCTTTACGCTGGAGTATCTCGGAACCCGAGACCTGCACCCGGAATAAAGTAGGTGCTCAAAACATATTTTGAAAAAAATAAGTGTTTAAGGACAAGTAGCAAAAATGTTCATGTAGATTGTTTGGCAAAAATTATCAGGGCTCTACTTGAATGACCAAAGTGTGAGAAATAATTCCTAGTTGGTATTTCTTTAGGATCATAATTATCAGCACCTCCTAAATGCATGTTTTCAGGCCCCCGCTGCTGCAGTTTCTAATATTCCATCCTTCTGCCTCATTCTCCTATGTGCTTCACTTTCCTCCCCCAATTTTTTTACTGCCTTCTCTCCAGTGACAATTTCTACTACATCAATCTGATGCAAATGGCCCAATAATTTTTTGTCTCCTACTTTTTTGCATGGCCTTATGCAAGGGAATTTCCTTTAGGTTTGTGTTATTTAGAATAACCTGATGAGCAATATACAGCTCGAGACACAATGAATTCACAACATGTGCGTCTTGCAGCGCCGGTGTAGCCCAGTGGTAGAACACGTGTTTAGCATGCACAGGGTGCAGGAGGTCCTGGGTTCAATCCCCAGCACCTCCACTAAAAAACAAATAAGGGAATAAACATAATCACTCCCCAACCCCCCAAAATAAATGAAAATGTGAAAAAAAAAAAAAACTAACAAACAGCACAGGCGTCCTGACCCATCTCTCTGGCACCTGGCTGCCCCAAGCCCAACACCTCCCACACTATTTTGTGTCTAGTATGTTTGATTTAGCCAAGCTGTCTCCCAAAATACAGAAACGCATTGGTAGAATAATGTAATTCTACTGTACTGATTCAGGGAAAAAAATCCTTGGATAAAGCAATCTTCTTATTACCTTCTCAGCTGACTAAATTTACGCAAAATTTTTTACCTGGCTTCCTAAAATCACAGGTAGTAAGAATTCTAAAATTCTGGACTTCCACTAAAATCTGGGATTGTTCATAATCATCACGTACCAAATGTGTTATGTATAAAATGTTCAATTAAGTCCACCGACTGTATTGAATTGATGACAGGAGAGCATTTTTAATTTAAAAACAAGTTTTCCTTCCAGTTTTATTGAGAGAGAATTGACATACAGCACTGTATGCTTTTTTTTGGTGTGGGGGGTTAGACTGTTTGTCTGTCTGTCTGTCTGTCTGTCTGTCTATCTATCTATCATCTATTTATTTAAATGGAGGCACTGGGGATTGAACCCAGGACCTCTGGCACGCTACCACTGAGTTATTCCTCCCCTCAAGGAGAGCATTTTTTAAAGGTAATTCTGTCACTGATCAGTTTTGTGACTTCAGAGCACTTAGCTGGGCTTCCATCTCCTTTTATTTTTTTGTAAAATGAAAAGGTAGAACCAGTTCTCTGTCCCCCGAAGGGCTCTTCATGCTGACATTCCGTGTGCGTGACGCTTTATACTAGGCCGGTGGAGAAAGGAAGAGGCCGGTCCTGTAGTCCTTGCACTTTGCGAAGACAGAGGCACAGGGGTTACACTGACTGAGCGCCTGTGCGTAGGTGATGGGTGAGGTCTGGGTGACGTCCCTCTGACTGATTATTGCTCTGTAAGGTCAGAAGGAAACTTGGGGATTGTAAATTCTTGCTTTTTTTTTTTAACTCTGTAGTCTCACAGGAAGCACTAGCAAATAAACAAAAGAGAGCGGAGAAGGGCAGCCCCTTCAGGGATGTTCTGACTGAGCCCGCGCGGCCGGCTCGGCGTCCGGAGGCCGCGTTCTCAGG